CTTGAAGAATGAGCAATTTACTTGTCAGAAAAGCATGGGGGGGGGGACAATGTAACATCACCAAGCAGAATGGCTTGCTCAGAAGCTCAGAAGCACCACAAAGAAAAGTGTCTTTGAAAACCCTGAGATTGAAGGGTGATAGGGCGTGTGACAAGGTGAGGAAGTGGCAGGAGATGAGGTTTAGATGGAGGTAAGACATTGGTTATGGAGAACAAAATGACAGAACACATCCATGGATGTTAAATTGCTTAGAAACAAATCCACTTTTTCTGCTTCAATGTGTATGTCCAGTCAAGTCGTCCCCTAAGTTTATAGAAAACTTATATCAGCTACTCCAGAGCAGATAGGAGTACTCTCTGACCAACCCTTGCACACATGTGAGCCAAAGCAACCTGGATTTCCAAGAGGTTGTTTCAGCCCCTTGACATCTTTCCTAAACACAGTCTTTGAGCTGTGGTTCCTCACTGTGGCTGGAAGCGTAGCCAAAGCCTGCGTTATTGTGAGATTGTGGCTTTGACGATTACGTGCTTCTCCACTGCTGGGCCCTTTACTTCACATGGGTGAAGGAGCTTGCCAACACACACTCCATGTTTTCATATTTTCCTCATTGGGTAATTGCAAAATGGGCAATTCCACCTAAATGCAGTGAGATTGATTTCATCCAAACTGCCAACTGGCTAATCAGTGGCCCAGTTTTCCAGCCATGTGATCTGGCATCTGGCATTTACCACTCATCAAATTAAATTACACAGTACTGATAAATTACCAGCTCATGACTGGGCAGAACTTTTTTTCTTAAGCTTCTTCCTGGTTAATACTTATATAATGATTAATAGGGTCACAGTTAAAAAAAAAAAATAGGGTCACAGTTTATCTACATAGGGATGCCAACTAAAATATATCAAAACTGTACCACAAATGGAGATTTTTGTATGTGACAGTGTAGATTATACATAGACATGCATATGCATGTATATATATGAATGTTGGTAAATAAATTATCCCATTTATGCGAATTTTGCAGATGCCTAAAGCTATGAGATTATCAAACGTTTTTGTTTTGTCTCAAAAATTATGCTTAGACAGACACACATGTATGTGTGTGTATATATGTATATGAATATGTATAAATGAATTATTCCATTTATGTGAATTTTCCAAATGCCTAAAGCTAAGTGACTAATCAAACATTTTTGTTTTCTTTTACTCAAATCGACTCTTTCTGGAAACGTTTCTGAAAGAGTTAGAAGCGTGAGTTCCGGAGTCAGCCTGCTCTGTCCCAGTCCCTATCTCTTCATCTACTGGCTTTCTGTCTTTGGACAAGTCACAGCCTTCCTGACCCTCTACTTTCTCATCTATAAATGAGAATAACAGTAACCACCTCCTAGGGTTGCTGTGTGAATTACATGGGGCTTTCAAGCAAAGAATTTGGTATGTGGTGAACATCCAAGAAGTGTTAGCCGTGAACACTTTATGCATATTAGAACTGCTTCTTAAAAACTAGGGCCATCATTGGGAGTGTTAAGGATTTCAGGACAACTCACAAATGATGCCTCCAGGACCTATCGAGAGCCAAAAGTTATTTTACCACCACTACCACCCGCCATTAAATGACCCCAGACTGCCAGGCTTCTTCCCAGCCCTGCTGGGTTTTTGAGTTTTTAATGTAGCGTCCCTTGCTTTCAGACTATCATTTGTCACATTCTGAAATCACCAATATCTAGAAACCTAGAGGTTTTCTTCCTCCTTTAGTGTTTCACTGACAAATCAAATGATCCGTCTGGTGAAAGTTCTTTGTAAAGCACAGTTTAAAAGCTCTGATTGGACACACACATCTGTACTTCAGTGACTGCACTAAGTGCTGGTTTCAAGATTATCAGCTACATCTATGACAGACGATGTTGTGTAAAGTGACCTCCAAAACGTGAGAGGATACTCTCCATTGCATGCTTCAGTCTGAGTGACACCGCTCTGTAGAGGTCCACATCTTTAAAGGTTCAACAAGGAAATAATAGTACCGCCTCTTTTTTTAAAGCAAAACGTAGCATGTAAATAAAACATATCTATGCAAAGTTTTTTGGCTTCTAAAAATTTATAAAGGCAGGCACTAACTCAGCCTATCTGGAGCAAAGATCTCAGCACCATAATCCAAACAGCATTGGTCACATTTCTTGATCTTTTTCCTCCTGATATTTAAATAAGCAGATGCTCCTGGGCCTTACCTTACCATTCTCCACGAAAACACTGTATAGGAAAGACTAGAACCATCCATGTGAATGATGGCCCTGAACTTGTGCAGTGGTGCAGTTCCTATCGAGGTTGCCATTATAATAATTTTGTTTCTTTGGGGATTTTTTAGGGAGTTTTTGGTGCTTCAGTGGCCAAACCATCTCCATGTCCAAGATAACAACATTCACCTCCCACTCATTCTCCTCACTGTGAATGCTTATCAGCACCCTCTATCCAAATTTGGGGATATTTTTCCCAGAAAATAATCTCGTGCCTTTTTCATAATCGCAAATCTTATAAACCTAGTTCTAGCAAAATAAATAAATTAATAAATAAATCCCGGACTGCAGCTGATTCTCTACCTTTTGGCTCGTAAGTAGTAAGTTATGCCCTTTCAATAGACATTTTTTATTCGGTAATTTAAAACTGTAAGACCATATCCCTCTTCTCTTGCCTCTCTGCCATGTCCCTTCCTCAAGATAGCCCCTTTCCCCAACACACACAACACAAACAGCAAACTGCCCAGCAGTTTCCGAAGTACACTTTCACCACCTCCTTCTCTCTCTCTTCCTCCCTCCAGACTCTGGGCACTCACATATGTCGCCATTTCTTCTTAGAATGACCTTCCTGTTTCCTTTACTGGCGAACTCTATGCAGCCATCGACCCTATAGAAAGTCACCTACCTGGACTGACTGCAATGCATTCATTCATTCATGAAATACATTCTTCAAAAGGAACACATTCTGGCACATAGGAGGTGCTCAGTAAATAATAGAAGAAAGCCACTTTTTGCTTTGGGGTCAGTCTTGCTGTCAGGACTGAGAGCTTCTCAAGGACAGGGCTGTGAAATTTTAAAATTCTTCTGTTCCAGTGCTGAGCAAAGGGCCTGACTCAGCACAGTGTTCAGGAAATATGTGAGGAAGGGCAAATGAGAGCCTGTAGAGAGGGAAGGAGGGAGGGATGGGGAATATAAGAGGGGTGTCTTATGAATGGACAACAAACACATGAGAAAATGCTCACTGTCCCTAATTATCAGAGCAATACAAATCAAAGCCACCTTGAGATATCATCTAACCCCAGGGAGAATAGTCCACATCAAAAAGTCCCAAAGGCTGGGGGCACAGTGGCCCATGCCTGCAATTCAAACATTCTGGGAGGCCAAGGCAGATGAATTGCTTATGCTCAGGAGTTAAAGACCAGCCTGAACAAGAGTGAGACCCTGTCTCTAAACATAGCTCGGTATTGTGGTTGAAGCCTGTAGTCCTAGCTACTTGGGAGGCTGAGACAAGAGGATCACTGAAGTCTAAGAATTTGAGGTTGCTGTGAACTATGATGCCAGGGCACTCTACTGAGGGCAACAAAATGAGACTGTGTCTCAAAAAAAAAAAAAAAAGTCCCAAAATTGTGGGTGCTAGCGTGGATATGGAAAGAAGGGAACAAACACTTTTACTCTGCTAAAAAGTGTGGAGAATCCTCAAAGAGCTAAAAGTAAATCTCCCATTTGACCCCACAATCCCATTACTGAGTATCTACCCTAAAAAAGAAAAATAATTTTACCGTAAGGACATATGCACTAGAATGTTTATCGTAGCTCAGTTCACAATCACCAAGATGTAGAATCATCCCAAGTGCCCATCAACACATGAATGGATTAATAAACTGTGGTCTATGAATACCATGGAATACTACTCAGCCAGAAAAAGATGGAGATTTTAGGGCTGTGCCTGAGGCTCAAAGGAGTAGAGCACTGGCCCCATATGTCAGAGGTGGTGGGTTCAAACCCAGCCCTGGCCAAAAACTGCAAAAAAAAAAAAAAAAAAATGGAGATTTTACACCTTTTGTATTTACCTGGAGCAAGTCGGAGAGCATTCTTCTTAGTAAAGTATCTCAAAAATGGAAAAGCAAGTATCCACTATACTCAATGCTTACGTGAAACTAGTACATGAACAAACACATGCCTACACAAGAGAAAAACACAATTAAACTAGTGGGAGGGAAGGGGGAGGTAGAAGGGGAGCAGGTGTGCTCTCACCTAACAGGTACAGTGTAAGGATTCATGGCACACCTCTCGGGTGAGGAGAATAACTACAACTTAGACTTTACCTAACAAACACAAACAATGTAACCTAATCGTCTGTACCTTCGTATTAATCTGAAATTTTTATAAAAAGCGGAATGTCTTAGTCTATCTGGGATGCTATAACAAAATACCATAAACTGGGTAGCTTATAAACCACAGAAATGTATTTCTCATGGTTCTGGAGGGTGGAAAGCCTAAGATCAAGGCACTGTAGATTAAGTGTCTAGTGAGGACCCACTTTGTCATAGGTGATACCTTCTAGCTGTGTTCTGGCTTGGTGGAAGGGGCCAACCAGCTCCCTTGGGCCTCTTTTATAAAGGACATTAATCCTATTCATGAGGACTTAGCCCTCAGGACCCAGTCTCCTCCCAGAAGGCCCTACCTTCTAATACCAGCACCATGGAGAATTTAGGATTTCAGAGTACAAATTTGAGAAGGGTGGATTGCTAATTTTGAAGTCCAACACACTCCTGATTACTTTATCTAATAACCAAAAATTTAAACATTTAAGAATATAAATGTAAACACTTGGGACAGGGAAGGGGTCTGAGTGCTCCCCACCCCCCGCCCAGAGCTTCTTGTGAGAAATCTTGATTTCTCAAGGTGGAGGAATCTTTCCCAGGTAAGTGTTGCCATGACAGCACAGTAGAGCACAGAATGTGAATAGCAACCCTTTTTTTACTTTTCCAGGTTACAAATGCTGCTGCCAACTGTCCTGGCCAAATGACACTTCATCTCAAACCTTTCCTTGTGTGTGGAGGGGATGGATTTACTCAGTCCAACTTTGATGGCTGCGTCGCTTCTGCTCTCTGTGTTCTGGAAGCTGTAAAGAATTATATTTAGTACCTGTAACCTTATTCTCTATGTGTGCTTTAGGGTTTTGGTTTCATCATTTTCTGTTATTGATTATTTTGTATTCTCTTTTGTTGGGAGAAATTACTGGAAAATTATTCTTCACTTATTGTCAATTTTCATATGGAGTGTAAAATCAATTTTATAATTTCAGTAGTTACAGCCCATGCTAGCATGGAAATTCCTCATACCTTACACCTTTCTCCACTTTCCTGAATTGCCATGGCTACCTCTTGTTGGAAGAGAAGTTGTGTTTAAAAATAACAAATGAACCTCTTAAAAAATTATGTTAAATCACAGTAACAGTTCATGTACCAAAATCAGTATTATCTTTATGAAAATTTCAACTCCGAATAAAGGACAATCACATTATCAAGGCCTCATCTTAAGTCTTCACGTGTGTCCTTGAATCAATAATTTTGCAAACTACTGAACTGCAAGATTTCTCTAAACCATGGATAACAGCATGTAATTTTTGTTTCTCATTTATCTCCCAAGTTATTAAATGATCCTGAATTGGAGGTCATATACGTCATCATCTTAGTTTGGTGGGCAACTTGACTGGCAAAGAACCCTCTCGTCAAATTTTCAGAAAATAACAAGAGTCAAGTTGATTTTCCAAGTTACACCATCTTTTTTAACCATAAAACAAATTGCAGTCTTTGTATAAAAAAGATAAAAATTAAACAGAAACTGAGAGAAAATATATCGATCTTTCTATCCTTTGCTATCTGTTATGGCTGGTACTCTTAACTTTACTAAAGTTTACAGGCTTTCCAACAGTGCTGTGACATTTAGACTGTGTCAAGTTTAATGAATTTAACACAACAAAAAAATTTACTGAACCAGAAAATAGATTCACTTAAAATAGTTCAATATTTACCCACTTGGTGGTTCGGCATGTCACCCACATGTTTCTGCGACTTAACCCCAGGATTTGCTGGCTGGAAGGAAATCAATTCTTAGTCTTCCAAACAAGCTACCTGTTGCTGATTTGAAAAGCAAAATGTTGAGTTCTGTTTTATCATTTTGAAAGGAAAGAAATCCTTGCAACCTCTCAAACTCAGAAGAGTTCAAACAAAAGATTTCTTATCTTGGTAGTAGTGTTTAAAGTTTCACACTTACCTACCCCCTGTCATACATAACACACACATAGGGTCACAGAGAACTTGCTTACATATCTATAAAGTGGGTTGATGATCTTACGGCATATTACTATATGTTTCCTTTTACCAAGAAACCAGTGAAAAACTTAAGTGCCTCCATGTGGTGTCACTTATTTTGAAATTGGGGGGGAAAGAAGAAGGAAATTAATTCAGTCTCTATAAGATGGTGGAAAATAATGATATATTCATCGTTTTATCCCATAGTTGATGAACATTTGTTTTTATTTTTATCTGAGCCTCACACCATGGTAGGGAAGTCATTCAGATGTGGCATCTACTTTGCTTTACAGCTATAATTCAGGAGCCATTTGAAAGCATCTTGAAACTTTAAGAACAGTGTTATTTTTGTTTTCGGAACTTCTGTCCTCCACAGGAGGGGGGAAGAAAGATGCAGGAAGGCGGCGTGTTCTAAGCCATTACCAACTACGTTTAACAGCTGTTCATTCTAAGTGTGTTTCCCGAGTAATTCTGCATCTGTTTGGATAAGGCTACAGCAATCTGAGAAAAAACTCAACCCTGTTTAATGGCGATCACTGTCACTTTGCTGTTTTAATCATTTCGAAAATTCATTTGAGGTTCAAATTTTCACTTACCTCTTTCCCTTTAGACATGAAATGAATATGGACTATCCCCTGCTGGAAGCACCCCCTGAGGGCCACGAAATTGATGGCCAGGATACTCTAAAAGACCCAGGGCTAAGGTATCAAACTCCCCTGGGAGACAGGAGTCTGTACCACTTGGAACAGTTGCTGAGGTGTATTTATGTCGGCACCGCAGGACCACACATCATCACAATATTTCTAAACGTGAATTTTTATTAATCAAGCCAGCCGAGGAAAGCTGTTCTGTTTTGAAAGGTGCGTGTTCAAATGAGAAATGGCTTGAGCAGTGGGGTGATTGAATACTTGTTAGCTGATAAATATAGCCTTTGCTGGAATAAAACTTTATGATGCAGTGTTGAAAAGCTTAATTACTAAACTGTCTATGCACACGTCTTGCTCAGGCAGCAAGGGTGACAAATTATAGCAGTGGAATAGGATTTTTCACCTTTGGCATTTCTGAAGGAGAAAAGTATGTCTAAAAACATTGAAAAAGCAGTAATAACCCCAGACCAGATATTAAGGGGTTGGGGGAAAGACACTTCATTGAGTCACCAAGCCTTCTGTGTAAAATGCCATGGTCCCCACCCCCCGCCTACCCACTACCTCATTAAGTGAAGAGAACAAGGTCAATTTTACATTTATCTGGCATTTTATACTTATCCAAGCATATGCGTGTGTGTGCGTGCGTGCATATATATTTTTTTTCCATTTGTCATTCTCCTAAAACCCCTGTGAAATAAGGGAAGGGAATTCTTATTTACATTTAACAAACGAGGAAACCGAGGCACAGAGCTTGGCCCACCAAGGTCAAATAATGACATTCCAGGACAAGAACCCAGGCCTCCTATGACCCATTTCTATTTGCAGACCCCATGCTGCTGCCAGATGAACATAGTAATTAAAGCCGAACTGAAATCTTAGTTGGGGTTACAGTGAGCAGCATGTGGTCCCCTTATTGATGTTTCATTTCAGAGCGTTAGCACTAATCCTGATGTGATATATACAGGAATCTAATATGGAATAAGGTCTCCATACGTACTGGCTAAGTGATTTATACTCCTGTTATTCTCATTTGCTGGTTTATTTCCTGCTTTGGGGGTCACTTGCTGTGAGAAATAGCTGCATGCTGATGACGCTGAATTTGAACACAACAGTAGTTGGTTAACAGACAGACACACTCGACCTTTCCTCTGTATTCCTCTTTCCCTCTTTGTTCCCCTTGTTTCATTCTCCTCTTCTGGTTTCTTCCTCATCTTCTATTCTTTCTTCTACCTCTTTCCCAGACCCAAATTTCCATTCTCAGAAAAACGTGGAATAGGAATGTAGTCACGTTACGATTCATAGCGTCTGTACTTCCTTCTTGTTGCTGTTACGTTGATTGGATAACCCTTATTTTGATTTTCAAAAATGATGCAAGAGTTTAAATGTGGCTGTACTTCAGGGGTCTCAGTGCTACTAACCGAAAAAAAATGACTTCTGTAGTTTCTTTAGTTCTTTACTTTTCCTGTCGTGCATGTGCAAAGCCTGATGCCAGCCTCTGTGGTGGGCACAGTGGAATAAAATCAACAAATCCCACCCAGAGGTTCTACAGAGGGGAGGACAAGGTCTCCAGAGTAGGAGGCAGAGTAAAGGTACATGCTGATATAGTCACGGGCAATGAATGAACTGCTGTAATTCTTGAAGCTAGGGAATCCTGGGGAGAAAGAGGGTCCCCGAACAGATACAGAGATGCATCAGTCATACATGTCCGGCAGCATCCCCCCCGTCCACACCATACCTGGCTGACTCCAGGAATCCAGACTGCATATTAGGTGGTCAGGACAAGTGAGTTCTGTGGAAAAGGCTTCAGTGGAACACAGAAAGAAAAGGCCTCAGCAAACAAAGGAAGATTGGGACTTGTGTTTCCTTCTCAATAGACAGTAATTATTATTGTCCACTTAACAGTTCACAGGAGAATCCATCAAAAGAGGCTACTAAAGAAAAAACATCTCTAAGAGATTGTTAATTTAAAAGGCATGTAGAATTATGGATTCCTAGAATGTCTAAGTTTGGGGAGGTTGAAAACCATTTAAACAAGTTGTTCTGAACCATCTTGGATTTTGGACCTATTTAAGAGGTATAGAAAACGATGGATTTTCTTCTAATGACCACATCTGAAACAATTACGCATATATACACATAGAATTTGAATGCCATTTAGAGCCTGCTGGCCAGCTGCTTATTTTTGTATTAATAAATAAAGTTTTACTGGAACACAGCCTTGCCCATTCAGTTGTGTATTGTTGGTAGCTGTTTCTGCACTGAAACAGTGGAGATAAGTATTTGTAACAGAGGCCACCAGATGGCCTGCAAAATCTAAGATAGTTACTATATAGTCCTTTAAGAAAAAGTTTACTGATCTCTTTTAGAGATCACACTGCCCTCCCAAATCTATCTATAAACACTCAGGATCCATGGACCCTGAGAACTTCTAAATCTCAATCCTTTCACTTCATGTAAGTATAGGTTTAACTTAGATCCAAACATCTGGTCCATCATTTCTTGATCCTATGCCCCACTATAAATCATTAAGGCAAATCATATAACTTTGCAGTTAAAAACTCATCCTCTGCAGTTAAATAGTTCTGCTTTGGGGGGGTTTGTTTTTGTTTTTTCTTTTTGAGATGGTCTCACTCTGTCACCCTGGTAGAGTGCTATGGTGTCATAGCTCACAGCAACCTCAAATTCTTGTGCTCAAGCAATCCTTTTGTCTCAGCCTCCCAAGTAGCTGGGACCACAAGTGCCCACCACCATGCCCAGCTAATTTTTCTATTTTTAGTAGAGATGGAGCTCTCACTCTTGCTCAGGCTGGGCTCCACCTCCTGACCTCAGGTAATCCACCTGCCTCAGCCTCCCAGATTATAGGTGTGAGCCACCGTGCCTGGCAGATCTGCATTTTAATCTAGACTTTGTTCCCACTTATGTGACCTTAAAGCAGTTAAACAATTTCACTTAGCCTCCTTTAGCTAAATCTGAAAAATGAGTAAATGGTTAACTACCTTATAAGATTGTTGTGAGGCTTAAAGATACATAAAACCTGAGAGCATGCTGGACATACAGTAAGTGCCTCATAAATGATAGCTATGATGATGTTCATGAGAAAGGGGAGAAGGAAGAAGAAAAGGGTAGGAAATGTTCAAGTATATCTTCTTGAGGCCTCTAAGCTCTCTGTGAAAACCAATTTTCTCTGCATTTGCAAAGGACACAGGAGAGTTGATGATACAGAGAGTTTGTGCACTGATAGCAAAACATGATGAAACCAAGCAGCCTAAAAGCAACCTAGTAATGTCCATTTGAGACTGTGCCATTTTCTCTTTTCCTGTTGTAGTTGGTAAACAGACAACTTACTTGGGGGAAAGTGGTTTGTTCTAACACAGTCCTTGGAAATGCACTAAGAAAGGTCATTACCAGGAGTAGGGATGGGAATAAAAACACTCCCTGCAAGGAACGATTTTTTCTTAGCAAGTGTATTTGCTGAATGCAAAGAATTGCACGCTTGGATGGGATTCTTCTGAAGATTATTTAGTTAATCTCTGAAACACTGTGAAAGCTAGGGGTAAGTTATTTCACATTCTTAA